ACAAACAAGAGAAACTAAAGAAAAGAACATATATATGATAAAAAGAGCGGGTCTTCAGAAATAAAACATTATTGAAATTTTAAAACAATACTAAGAAAATATAAAATACATTTCCTAAAATACCAACATCAGCATTTAATTCTTTTTTTTTTTTTTTACTTTTAAAATTAAACATTAATAATTTCAGATTAACAGTTGATTTCTCAGTTTAAAAAAAAAAAAAAGGAATTTTTTTAAATCTTCCAGTTGTGACTTAATTAATACTGAAGAAATTTGCAATATTTGCTTAAATAATTTTAATATTTAATATTTGCTTAACCCTCTTAGTGGCACAAGTTTTTCTATCAGTCAACAATACCTGTATTTATACAGCTTTTATAAGCTAATTTGTATAACTACTTATTTTACTCCCATTTTCATTAACTTATATTCATTAAGATCACATTTACATTAAACGAAGTAAGAAAGCAAAATATTTTACCAACTGACAGAACATCTCATAATCGAATAAAGCCCGCCAGGCCACTCAAATGGTTAAACAATCATGCAAAAAATTTCAAAGAAATCTTTAATTTTAAATAATTGCTAAGAAAATATTTCAAAAAAACAATATTCTTATCACTTGCAAACTGCAGTTTCAGTTTTTTCTTTTGGTACTCAATTATGCAGTAATATCCTGTAATGTGTTTATAAAGTAATGTGTAATAAATGTAAATGTAATGTGTAATAAATGTAAATGTAATGTATAATAAATGTAAGTAATATGTTTCATAAATGTAACTTGAATTTTACATAATACAAATTTATAAATGGCTTAAGAGTAACTTCATAAGAAACAGTAATATTTATTATATGTCTATATATTAGTCATACAATATTATTTAAAATATAAAATATTATAAAAACAAGCTGAAGTAAAGCAAATAAAAAGTCTTGGGACAGCTAATTTGCTAATGCAGTAAGAAAAGTTGCAGTTGCTAAAGCTGACATTGTAGGTGAATGGTTGTGAAAAGAAATGATAGATATTCTTTAGCAACTTCTCTTGATCTTGAAGTCTGAGGGCAAATGGGATGATACTCTTGAACATTTGTGTGAATGAAATCTCACAACTATGTCTAAAGTTGATTGTGTGGTTGCAAGTATTTATCATCAGAAATGGTTTTGTAGCCAAACATGGATATGACTGTTAACATTCTCAAACTGTGAGCAGTTTGTATGCTGGCCTCTCTTGCAAATCTTTATGCAGAGACCTATATTCCTTTTCCAGTATTCGCCATTTTTGTGATTTTTCTTTAATTAATGATAACCAGTATATATTAAATACAAACCAAGTTTCGTAAATATACATACTTAGTGCTTTTAGAAAGGAGACTTTTTACATTGAACACCTTGTATTAACCCAATTCTTTCATGAAGTATTTTCTCACATCTGATAATACAGAAGTTTTTCTTGCCATTTTTTAGTTTCCATGCTATATATTTTATACTTACATCGAAAAATATACAACACAAAAGGCAAATAAATATAATAAAAAGCACCTAAAATTCACTTATTATAAAATAGTCATAAATTTATTAAACTAAAGCTAGCTAAAAATTTAAGTATAATTTCTCAGTTAACATTCACATTATGATTACTTTCCTAATTTGTTTTCAGCCAACTCCCCTATTAAAACTTTTGTCATTGCATTTGCTCATATTAAGAAACTTACACAAACTCAAATCCACAGTCTTTTAAATTACTTCTATATTATATTTAACTTCCCTTTTATGGCTAACATCATAACTTTTAAATAAAACTCCTTTTGTTGGTTTTGCACATACATACTTTTTAAAACCATGGGTGATTTCCAAAGTGTGAAGTATTTATTATATTTTTCCTCATGTATTAATGCAATGAACTAGCTTAGTAGAAATTGCCATATTTTCAGAATGTGCCAGCTCTGGCAACCACATGAAGCATTTCTTCAGTTTTAAGAAGCAATACTGCCAGTTTTGCATGCATTCTTTCTGCTGTATTCCAAGTTTGAATTTTTTTAAAATTCGACAAAGTGTAGTATTTTCTATCTTCAACCTAATTTTAAAACACAGGTTTGAGGAAATTACTGGCAATAAAGAAAACTGCAGTAGGTTTCTGCACAAAAATAGTAATTTGTTTGCTTTGAATCTATTTCCAAAACAAATCCACAAAATTTCCACCAGAACAACAACTAAAAAACAAACAAACAAACAAATAAACAAACAAAAAAACTTGTAAGTAGGTTTATGGAATGAACTTTTTGGATAGACACCCTATTAAATGTAAAATATGCATGTAATAATTCTTTTTTTTTTTCAATTATAAGTCACCACTCTTTTTCTTTTTTTGATAGGGGGGGAGGAAGCCAAGCTGCCATCAGATAGTTCCATTAATACTTAAGTATATCGTTTCTCTTTATCAATACAAGTTTCTAACTACACAGAATCTCCTTAAGATGGCCAACTATTATTCCAGTCAAATCTGGTCTCCTTAAAGAGGTGTTGTTTAATATTGAAGTTTGTTGATGTTCTCAGACACACTAGACTTTCCAGGGCTGATGGTCTTATGGAGGGAGCCTCCGTGTGAAAGTTCGCTATATGCAGAAAATTTAATGATCTATGACAATGCTATATCAAAAAATTAGCATAAGCTCACCAAGCTATCACAGCTATACAATAACATTTCAGAATGATCATTCCCTGCAAGCCTGCCAAAAATGAAAGAAGATATTTTAAACTTTTTTTAACAAAAATATTAAAACAGATGCTTCAAGCAAATGAATAAAAGCTCTACCAGAATACAACTATGGAATATCTGCATATTAAGTAATAATATGAATCTTTGATACTTGCATGTTAAATGATACCTGTCATTTCAGAGTAATGTTGATAATAATTTGCCAGCATAGTAAAGATAAACGGGATCCACTTTCTTCTTTTATTTTTACATTTAATCAATGATTACCAATGTTAAACTTCTAGCCTATGTTTTCATGAATGAATATTTTCAGCTAAGGCAAGTGCGCTTCTTATTCTCCAGAAAATAACATTATTTCAGAAGAAGAGGTAATTTCTCTTTACATAAATTAGCATATCCCAGATTCTTCAGAATTCACTGAGGAGGGGGATTTAAATTTAAACAAATACGCAATCAAACCTTTGATTAACAGAGCACAGTTCTAATTATACACAGCTCCAAGAACTTGTCAGGCATTTATTTGTCTACAGATAATCATAAGTATCAGTTAATATTTTAACAGTAAGTTCTCAAAATTCATAAAATAAACCGAAAACTGGCAAAAATACATAAAATTATGATTCAATACTAGAAATAAATGATTCAATTCAATCTTTACTCATTTTACTACTAGCATATCATACACAATACATTTCATCTCTCTCTGTGGGCCCACTGCATCAAATGTAATATGAAAGCACATATGATAAGTGTCACTAGTGACCCCTATATCATATTTAATATGCTGAAATGGAATCTTTACTTCAAATTTTAAAAATGCTCATAAATTATATCAGAATACTGTGAAACCTAACTGAATGGAATTCAGTTATTAATCATTCAATTAGAGCCTTGCATGAATATTATTTATTATTTTAACCTAGAAGTGTAAAATGCAAGATGCTTACTATTAACATTCAGAATTTTGACACATTTCACATACTGCAAATGCCTTAGGATATTGTATATAAATATGGCAATAGAATATAATAGGTACTGATATTTAAATTATTAAGTTTACCACTTCATTATTGTATGGAAATAATTTAATTATCTAAACACAATCATTATTACTAATATTGCACATTAATTTCTTTTGAATTTTTGTTTTAAGTATTATGATTTTTCTCTTTATATTATAAGAAATGGCATTTAAATAACATATGCAAGAATCCAGATATTTTGATAAAAAGCAGATTTTAGAGGAACTATTTTTGTATGTTATGCTTAACTGCAAAACACACTTGGGCACATAGTTACATTCAGCACTCTAAAATCAGGGACGCACAAGAAAACTTTATTTTCTCTCCATCGGAAGCAAGAGGTTAATTTACAGTGCAAAATTTAAATAATTCAAAATTTCAATCAACATACTATAAAATTTACACATGAGAAAAAAAAGTATTTTACATATTTATTAAATACACTGACATCAAAAGACAATACAAACTAAACTGATGAAATTTTAAAAGCAAAAAACAGTCTTTTAAAAAAATACTAAAATAATAATAATAAAAAAAATCTTCATGAAACTGTAAAAAAGAATAAATTGATATTTATTACATGTGAGAACATCTGTAAGTAGATAAGGCCATCATAATGAGGACAGACACAAGTGTACCAGATAAAAACTAGCTTTTTTAACACAACCATTTCTCTCATATGCAAGTTTCTTTCCCTATTTAAAAATATTATAAGAAATGTAAGTAGAATATATAAAAAATTGATATTTCACTAGGCAACAAATAAACATACTCTGTGACGTAAATAATATATATATATATATATATATATATATATATATTATATATAGGCTCATCATCATCATCCAAAAACATTAAGATTTTAAAGAACTACAAAAGAGAACCTCATGGTACATTGTTTTTTTCATAAACAATTATTTTACAGGTAATAATGGCCTTTTTATTTCTTGATGTACAGTTTCACGCTCAAAAATTCTCATTCATTTGCAAAATTTCAAAAAATTACATAAAATGTAATAACCAAAATCATATACTGAAGTAGCTTATTGTTTTAAAACTATCCTTCTAGGAACGATAAACATAAAGCAAAACTATAACATTAGGCATCGAATTCTACTCACACATTCAGGCAAGAAAACTCATAATAGCTACGAAAACAAAATAATCACTAAATAACTGGTTAGTGACTAGGATTTTAAAAAAAATTCTTTTTTAAAATATATAACACTCCAAGCAGGCTTCCCCCCCCCCAATTTTCAGAATCAGCAGGAACAGGACTGATTTGGTTCATCTAGAGCACTCACTTTAAATGAGTCTTTAACTTCAAGTTCAATGTCTTTGACGCGGCAAGTGCCAATGAGCTGTTTGGCAATGTCTGTGAACATTTCTTCTACTCCGGCCCCCGTCTTGCATGAGGTTTTGTAGATTCCACTCACTAGATTGTGGCACTGCTCGCAGAAATTTTCAATATCTGCATCAGTGATCGAGTCTTCGGAGTTCTGATTGAGCAGGTCTGTCTTGTTTCCGCACAGGAAGATTTTGGCACTTTCTGCATACGTTACGATATCCAGTAGATGCTGTGATAAAATATTAAAAGAGTCTGGGCTATCGAAGCTGAAGACTAGAATGGCAGCTTCAGCAAATTTGTAATAGCTGCTAGTAATGGATGCAACCCTCTCCATTCCACCTGTATCCCATAACTGGAGCTAAAAAATTAAGGGAGAAAACTGATAATCTCAAATATAATTTCAGTACTATCACATTATCCTACCAACCCATACAAGAACCACCGGGTGAAGTAGGCAATAAAATTTTTTTACAATGATGTATTTATCAAGTAATTCAGCAACAGTCGTGGAAGCAATATGCCAACATCAATCTTGGTGGCAGTGGTAATGCATGAAGTTTTGAAATTCTAGTGTTATGTTTGTGGTTTTCATTTGTTAACATTAGTATGTGGAATATTTTTTCTTGCACTAAATTTTAATGCTATTGTGGAGTTTGTCTGAATAAAAAAAGGAAGAGTTGTATTTTTCAGAAATATGGCATTTTGCTTAGTAGTAGAAAAGTTAATTTGTAAAATTCTCTCAAGTTAAAACCATTGTATATGTGGACAGTAAGGCCAATTTGCTCTGTAATTCTCTGATTTTTCTTAAAGATAAAACAAACACCTGTGTGCATGGACTGAAGACCAAAAGAAAAACAGTCAAGTGTTTTATTATGGATGTTTATTGGATTTTTAACTTAGCAAATTAATTGCTGGTCTATGTAATTTTGAGTGCTTTAGGATGCATGTCTGTTTTATGTACTTTTCAGTGGTTCATTATGGATATTTCTTGCATTTTAATTTCATTAATTCATTGCTGTTTTATGTATTTTTCAGTGCGCCCCCATTTTTTAAAATGGTTACAGTTTTTCACTTTAGGCTAGCACAAAAAAAAAAAAAAAAGCTTTCAAAGACTGGTAACTTTGCAGATGGGCTGGGCATATGCGAGAGTACCATAATTTTTGTCATCAATAATAATAGGGAAACCAATTACTTTTATTTTATAACTACAAACCTGAAAAAACGTATACAGTACAAAGTCCGAGATCCGTAATGATTTAAAATCTGGAACTCAAAGGCCACTACCAACTTTTTTTTAATTCCCCCCCACATAATAAAACATGTGGAGAGTCCCGATTCTTAATTTTACTTCACTAATGGCACTAAATAAAATACCTCATTATTGAAGAAAACAATCATTTTAGCATATATTTGTATGATCAATAATTTGGCTCCATAGCTGCCGGTCATGCATCTCAAACTGAAACATTCTACAGATACATTGATTTTACATTCTACTAATATTTTATACCCCTGACACCAACATGACACATCATCATGCAGTGCTGAAAGCATCATTATATTTTGCTTTCAACACTGCATGTTTATCAACACATAACAACTTGAGTAATGACTCATGGAGAGATGCCTAAACAATATTTTTTTTTATATTACTAATTGATATTTTTTATATATATTGTTAATAATGTTTTATTACTAATAATCATAGGCCAAAAGATTACATTTAATGCTATTTGAATTAAGAATAACTGATTTGTTATTCATATAAACCCAGAACCAGCATCAGAGTTCATAATGGCTGCACCAGATGGCAGAATTTAGGGAAGACAAAGGGAGGCACTTATTAGCAGAAATTAGGAGCCATATAGAGACAGCATCAGGGCACCGGCCCTCAATAAGCCTTAAGTATATGTGAGAATTTTTTTATTCAGGATTCAGATAAGTGCAAGAAATAAGCATAAGTATAATAAATAACTAAACTAATGCAATTCAGGTTTAACTGTCTCAGTGTGCGATAGAAGCAAGACAAAATTTAGCTGAATAACTTGTCTTTAGTTCCCAATCTCATAATACATAGCGAAATATGTATAGTGAACGATAGCTAAATTTTATGATGATAGCCATGAATCTGAAGGTTTTCGAATATCACAAACCAAAGGTGAAATTTTCCAATTAGCGAATTTTGTAAAGAAA